GGCGGGAAATTGACTGAAATCGAGATGCCAGGAGATGATCGATTACATGGCAAACGCTTCTTCGAATTTTATTGAGAATATGGAGATACATGGTACGAACACCAGGCCAAATATGGCATCAATATTCGATGCAAGGACGAGAGAAAGCGGGTTGGTGGGTGAGGGAGAAAGAGAAATATATATGGATATAAACAAACTGAGATAGAGAGAGGGAAACAGACAAACTCTACGAAATAGATATGATAACTTTATACGTGTAGCTTAGACGTGGCACAAGGCGGAAAGACTGGGGAACTCATTGCGGATCGAACTCACTATCCAGTCGCAACTGATCTAGCTAGACAAGCTTGCTTACCTTTTCTGTTTCTTTAACAGCTTAGAGAAAAAGGCAATACAACAGCATCTGGCAATTCAACAGCAAAACGCCGAGACCTATCAGCCAATCTAGCAGCACCTTTAAATTCATGCAATCGGGTCCTCAATGAGAAATGGTATTCAGAACAATTGGCATGAAAGTATTTGCTGAAAAGACGTAAGGGGCGAACGTCACGAAGGCGGGAAATTGACTGAAATCGAGATGCCAGGAGATGATCGATTACATGGCAAACGCTTCTTCGAATTTCATTGAGTGCCTAAATGTGGCATGGATTTGGCGCAAGTTTGAAAGTATTGGATACCCAGTGAAAATCATACACAATATTTATTCGGAATTATTCATGAGAAACAGACTTGTTAACCATTACACTACGTCGAAGTGCCCAGATGCAAACAAATTGTGATTTTCTTAGTGTAGCTCAGATCTGTCAAAGTAGTGATTTTCCAAGCGTAGCTTGGATGTGGCACTAGGCCAAAAGTATGGGGCAACAGTGAGGATCGAACTTACCACTCAGTTTTAATTCTTTTAGCAAGACAAACTTGCTAACCATTACACAGCCTCAAGATGTCGAAATGATTTTCTAAGTATAGCTTAAATGTGGCACAAGGCCGAAAGTATATCGAACTCACTACCTTTTCTTAAGTGTTCCAGCAAGACAAGTTTGCTAATCCTTACACAACGCCGAGGTGCCCAATAAGGTCGAACCCAGTGAGCATCTAACTCACTATTCAATTGTAATTGATCTAGGGAGATGGGATTGCTAAACATTATAGCACAGATAATATGTTATATTCAACTAGCAGCATGGCCCGGCGTTGCCCGTGCTTGATTCAAAAAGCGTACGACTCATACAGCAATCGCTATCACTTGACTTAAAATATTTTTGCCCTTCCTTGCCTTTAAAGGGGTGTACTTTGCCGTGCTGATGTTGCTACATACCTTACTTCATGCCTATCTCACACTGCGAAATATTTCTAAGCGCTATACTAAACATTAAATATGTTATGAAAAAAAGGAAACTAAACAAAATGAACACAAAACGATCAGCTTTAAAAAGGACTCGTAACTGGAAAAACCGAATGAAAAAAGAATGTTAACAACAAATACTTTTTCACACCCAACCCAGTTCTGCGGAATCAGAATCAACGTTGAGTTTAAGCAAGCGAATGAGCCAATTAGAGTAAAATGCCATGTAGATTTAAATTTTTCCCACTTGTGACGAATGCAGCTATCGATTATTTTTGCATGCTAGTTACCATTCGTGTCAGTCAGCTGTTGGCTCTCACGGTGGCCAATAGAATCTTCCTGCCTATTCGTGGCAGCTAGCTATAGGCTCTGACACTGGTCAGTAGAAAATGGCCGAAAACTACATGAAAACTGCCGTAGAAGCATGAAAAATCGATTATTTCCACTATCGATGGGAGCTGGGAAATGCAAAGTCGGTGTTGGCCTTTCCGCTAACTTGGAGCATGTGCATGTAAATTTTGGTGCAAATCCGTCGAAAATTGCGGCCGTGCTTTCGTTACACACACACACACACACACACACACACACACACACACACACCCGTCCTGCCTTTTATAGATTGAGATTAATAATATTTGCTCCCCAGCGAAACACATGAATCAGTATTATTTTTTTTACTTTCCTCTACGGAATAAACATGCAATCTTTGTTGAAGATGTTTGACGCTATTTCTTTTCTTTTCATGACAAAGTTTCCATCGTATCAATGGATTTGGAAAATCCATTTTGATACGAATGTTATCCCTACGGTTTTATTTCGCGTCCCTTTTAATGAACCTTCGTATATGTTTGGGGATTTTTTCTTAGAATAATCTCTTTCATGAGAGAAAATATGACCTTTTTATAAACAAAACGCAGATTTCCATTTGGTGGAAAAAGTTGTTTTTTTTTTTAAATTATTTTAGCGGGGTAAATATTTGAGAGACCTTACGAATTTTCAGGCAGAAATGTTCTTTTGTTTTTTTAGTATATGTAATAATATGATTTCTCTCCTCAGAAACATTTAAATTATGACTTAAAAAAGTTTCTTAATATATATGTTTAAAACTTCAAATAATGCATGCCTTACGAGAT